GAAGTGCTAGGCGTCGTCATGGCTTTGGTGGAATTTGGGGTCGTGGAACATCTCTTGGAAGGTTTCTAAGAATGGAATTTTCATTGATAATTGCTTCAAAATATCATAGAACGTATCAATATTTCCATCATCAAGTTTCCTAGATAACCTCTACAAAAATGGAGGAAGCCTAGGAATCGATGCAAGAGGTCTTGGTGCCTCTACTACCTTTCCCTCAACCTTTTCATTTCTCACATATTGAGCCTTAGCCTTTTTCGGAACTTGCTCGACTTCAACAACAATAGGCATTTATACTTGTGCCTCATCTTCTTTTACAACATCTTCCACTTCGACCACCTTTTTACTCTCACTTTGAAGTAGTTTCCCACTTCGAGTTGTAATAGCCATGCAATGAGAATTTTATCCACCCCCACTACCATTTGGGTTCACAATTGTATCACTCGGATGTGTGTCTTATATCTTTTGAGTTTGCCCTCTTGAAATATCTCTCATTTGCATCTCCAATTTTTGAATAGAAGCGGTGTGAGAACCTACAAGCTCGCCATGTTCTTCATTGAAGTATCGGACTTCTCTTGTTTTTGCAAAACCCTCTCAAGCATACTCTCCAATTTGGAACAACCTTGATCATTTGAAAAACTCTCTCCATTGTTGAGCATTGGAATATTGGTTTTTCGGTGGAACATATGGATTTGAACTATAATTCCCAAAATTACTGTTGTTGTTCCAATTTCTTTGATTCAGATTACCTCGCTCATTTCTCTATTATTGGTTACCTTTACCTTGTGGGTTAGGTCTCCATTGGTTTTTTCCCCAATCCTTGAAAATTTTGCCTTTGGTAGCCTCCTTGAGAATTATTGACATAATTTGCTTCCTCATAGTTCGAATAACCTCCTTTTTTGTTCGGCATTGGTTGCAATTCTTCTACCACATTCACCTTCTTCGTTTGGCTTTCCTTTATCATGTTTTTCAAAATATCCACATTGGTAGAAAGACCGGAAATCAATTGGTCTTTTCTGAGGAGACCCATATGACGCACCACCACCCGTATCGCCCGAGTGCCATGATTGATTATGTTGGGCAGCCTTGTCAAGAATTTGAGTGATTCTATCAAATGTGTTAACCATGAAAGACCCATTGGCCGCATTGCTAGCTATGAATTGGTTCAAGGGATCCAAACTCGTATAGAAGTTTTCCAACAAAATGTTCTCCTGAATTCCATGATTCGGCAATCTAACCAAGTATAGTTTGAATCTCACTGAAGCTTCATGAATTTGTTCCCCCAGAAGTTTCTTAAAGAAGAAAATATGATCTCAAAGTTCAAACTTCTTACTTGACAAAAACCACTTTGCCAACAAAATGTGCAGTAGCTCGGTCCAAGTATGGATGGTGTTTGGAGGTAGTTTTTAGCCATATTCTAGCCTCGCCAGCTAGAGAGTATTTGAAATCCCTCAACCTCAATGCATTATCCGACACATGATTTTGCTTGTGCAATCACAAACACCCTTAAAACTATTGAGATGTTGATACAGAGCATCATCTGCAGACTTTTGTAAGAATCCTTCGGTCTTTAGCATCACATAAAGACTATGATCCACCTTGAAAGTAGCTGCATCAACTGTAGGGGGAAGAATGGCATTTGAATCATCAATAATTTCATCAAATATCTGCTAATACATTCACATCCTCAAGTTCACTCATGATTCCTGACTTCACAAGACAAAGAAATAAAGTGTGATGGAATAGAAAAAGACTTAAAGTAAAGTACACACTACTTAGTAATTTCAAAACCTAGGCAACGACGCCAAAACTTTGGTACACTCAAATTACACCTATATAAATAGCGTAAAGCGGTCGATGTAAAATGTAATAACCCAATTGGGTTAGGTTCGAATCCCACAGGGAATAGGCGTGAAAATATGTTACACCCCAACCTTTGGAGGTGCAACTGACACATGATGCTCGGAGGCCCGAGTGAACCAACACGTGCTCTTTCATCTTTTTGTTCATAAAAATTTTAGCCGTTGAGGTTTCAATTAATGACTACCAAAAATTAAAATGAGTACAACTGATTAGCAAAAGAAACATTGGCATTTTATACATGATCATCATGGTCACTAACATAGTCATACCCGGCCAATACATGCAACCAAACACTAACATTAGTCTACAAGACTCTAAGAAACCAAAAAGAGTTATACATATTATACAACTTGGTCGGAAAAGGGTCCCACCACACCCAAAATATTTATGACATCTGGTTCAGTACCTATTGACCTCTGACAGCTACTCCGAAGAAGTGGAGAGCAACAACCAACTATTGAATCATGCACCTACTAGGGATGGGTGTCACCGAGTCTATCTGTACATGTGGGCATGAACACAGTTCCCAAAAAGGAATGGGCGTTAGTACAAATGATGTACTGAGTATGTAAAACTAAGAAGCACAAATAAATCAGAGTTATAGCATAAGAAATGTGAGTAGGTGATTCCAACCTGAATACCAAAGATAAGCCATCGGGGGAATATATCATAATGTGGAAAACTATAGACCATGGATCATAAATGCATGCAAACCTTTGCAAAACCATACCTCTGATTCGGGCCATGCATTATCTGATACTATACATACATACATACATACATACATACATACATACATACATACATACATACATACATACAACATCATACATATATACATATGTGTATGTATATATATATATATATATACACACACATACATACATATATTTAGCCTCTCTTTGGGGAAAATTTTCATCACTCCATACCCGGCCTCATAGAGGACTCGACATCATTTCTTCCTTAGTCTTGTTCCTCCAAAGTACTCACCGGAATTTCTTCATAAGATAGGTCTTCTGGAACTTGGATATCTTCAATAGGAGTAACATGTGATGGATCACTTTTGGAGCATAGACACACGGAATACCGGATGTACTGTTCTAATTTTGGGGGCAACTTGAGCTTATAATCTACATGATCGACCTTCTGTATGATTCGATATGGTCTGATATATCGGGGGTTGAGTTTGCCTCTTTTAATGGTTATACGAGTAAGATTTTTGTCTACTTTGGGCGGACAACAATCGGTTTTGAATTAGCTTCACTTCTCTATAGCCTGTTGTACCAGCTCAAGCCCTAACAACTTTGCTTCGCCCACTTCGAACCAGCCAATAGGAGATCTGCATTTTTGCCCATATAAGGCCTCATATGGTGCCATTTTACTACTAGCATGGTAGCTGTTATTGTAAGCAAATTTGATAAGTAGTAGATGACCCTCCCAATCACCCTTGAATATAGAAAACATGCCCATAACATGTCCTCAAGCATTTGGATGTGCGCTCGGCTTGGTCATTAATTTGTGGATGGAAAACTGTGCTAAGGTTGATCCTTGTTCCAACCATTTTTGGAATGATCTCCAGAAGTTAGATATAAACTGTCTGATATGATGGAAACCAAAACCGCATGAAGTTGAACTATCTCCTTAATGTATATCTTAGCATAATATTCAATTGAGAAGGTAGTCTTAACTGGTGGTGAGTCGATCCACGATAACCCATATAGAGTCAAACTTTCGGCGTGATCATGGTAACCTAGTAAAAAAATCCATGTTGATCACTTCCCATTTCCAGATCTAAATTTCCATATTCTACAGCAACCCTCTCGGTTTCTGATGCTCAACCTTAGCTTGTCGACAATTTAGACACTGAGCGACGTATTCAATGATATCCCTCTTCATGTCGTTCCACGAGTATAGCTATCAAAGATCATGGTACATTTTATTTGACCTTGGATGGATAGAATACCGGGACAATAAATCTATGCCATGATCTGCTCTAGGAGTTTCCTTACATCGGGCACACAAAACCAGTCTTGTCTAAGGACTCTATCCCTGGATAGCTCGAACAATAACTTTCTTTTGAAATGGAATGCTTTCCATTATTTTTACCAAGGCTGCATCGTTACATTGATGTGCTTTCACTTCGGCCACTAGCGAATTCGGCGTCATTTCAAACTGTGACTGCTCTGCTGTCGATATCAATCAATTGCATGCTTAGATTTGCTAGCTGGTATAAGTATTTAATCATCTCCAACTTTTGATTTTCCACATGTCGTAGATTGCCCATGGACTTTTGACTCAGTGTATCAACTACGACATTTGCTTTTCCAAGATGGTATAAAATGTCAGCATCATATTCCTTTAACAGTTCAAGCCACCTTCGCTGCCTCAGATTTAATTCTTTTTGCTTGAATTTGTACTGCAAGCTCTTATGGTCGGTGAATATATCAACATGAACTCCATACAAGTAGTGACGCCATATTTCAAGACAAATATAACAGCTTCTAGCTCCAAGTCAAGGGTTGGGTAATTCTGCTTGTGTTTCCTTAGTTTTCTCGAAGCATAAGCGACAACTTTCCTGTGTTGCATTAGAACATTTCCCAATCCTACTCTAGAGGCATCACTATATACCACGTACTCCTCGGGTCCTTCAGAGAGCGTTAGAACAGGTGCCGAGGTTAAACTGTCCTTCAACTATTGGAAGCTCTTCTCGCAAACATCAGTTCCTTGATGTCTCGTGCTTAAACTTTATTAATGGAGCAGCTATATATGAGAAAGTTTGCACAAACCTTCGATAATAACCGGCCAAGCCCAAGAAGCTGTGCACTTCGGTCAGAGTTATAGGCCTTGGCCAACTCTTAACCGCTTCAATCTTTTGGCTATCAACCTTGATACCTTCGCTGGATACTATTTTCCCAAGAAAGGTCACCCATGTCACGACTCAAACCGATTGGGCATGACGAGTGCCCGAGTTCTACCTATCGAACACCCCTAAGCATACGTCTTAGATAAACATGAAATAAGTGTAGTTCAAGCATAACATTTGGCAATAAAATACTGAATCATGTGAATAACAGACGCGGAAAAACATGCCCAAAAGACATATATACATATATATATATATACGGAATACGGTAGGGCGAGCCGAGAAGGACACATACTATCTAACTACACATGACTATTTACAGACCTCTAATAGAGTGTACACTGTATAAAGAATGGGAGTGGGTCCTGTCATACCCATATGTATACAAACGTATCGTACCAAAACTCAATAGCAGCTCTAGATCAAATGGAGCACACCAGTTCTCGCTGAGCAAGGATCCTAAGAAGGTGGACCGTCAACCTGTCTACCTGCATCTACGGGCATGAAACGCAGGCCCCTAGGTAATAGGGGCGTTAGTACGAATAATGTACCAAGTATGTAAGGCATAAAAATCAGTATATAAAAGACATGAAAGAAACATGGAGTAAATGACTCAACCTGTAAGTCTGAATAACTCTGTGAATCATGAAACATTTATAATGTCATACATATGCATATAAATGTCATGTCATAAATAGGTATATGTGTAGATAATATCATCAAGCCTCTGAGGGAATCCCATCATATCATCTCAGCCTCTGTGGGCGAAATCATAAACGTATACCAGCTGATCAGGTGGTGGTGCGTATGTAACACCATAACCTTTCCCCATACCCCATATACATATACTATTTGCGTATATAACGTCATCTGGTCATGGGTAAATATACATGTATAAATGGATGCAATGCATAATGAAGTAAGTCAATAAGATCTCTCGGAACATCATGAGACCCATAAACAGACGATATGATAGTAGGACATATGGGGAATCCAGAACATAGGCAACCCTAGTACTTCTAAGAATAGAATCATTTGTGAAAGTTGCATGCTTGCTCGTTTCATTGTATCATATGGATCATACCAAAAGGAAAGGAGGAATAGACTTAACATACCTCAAGTCGTCAATGCAGCTCCACAACAAGATTATGATAACTAGCGCGCCAACCCTATAACAAGGAAATACATGTACGACTTAGATGTCTCTAGTATATTACGTATCTCAAAGATTCTAAAATAAAATGGGAAGATTTTCCCTGATTTTACTGCTCCCTCAAACCTACTATAGGTGAGGTACAAACACAATACAATCAGCAACTCAAAACCAATCTAATTACAATTCGGGACCTTCAATACAATAAAAACCCCAAATATACGATAACACACCCAATCAACAAGTTATCGATTAGGCTGAAGCTGCAACGACGAGTGACCAACCTAACACCCTACCACATGTGGCGTTTCTCCACTCCTTTTTATCCTTCCAAACGCCATAAATCAGCAGCAAAATAGGCCAATACAAATGGACTACAAAACAGTCCACTAAAAGTGGAAAAAAAATCAAACTCACAACTTTCAATCACCATCCCGTGAGTTCGAACTATTAGGAAACCAATTTATAAAACTTCCTTGATATTTAAACACTTAATTACAGAAATTAGACATTTCTTAACTATAAAGTACCTTGTACCCTGGATACTTACGTCGTAGGGATTGTTCTGATGTTATCACTTCTCGATTTCGTACCCTGGATGTTAGTATTTTTTGAAACCCTTTGGAGAGCTTAAGGATAGGTTTTTATGGTGTTCTATGGTCAGGATCTATGTAAATGTGATGAGAGAGACGAGCTAAAACCTAGATATAAAATTTTGATGCTTATATCTTTTTATCCAGATATCATATAAACGAACAGTTAAGTGCGCTAGGAACTACATTCAAAGATCTTCAATTTGGTATATAATATATCCCAAAAAGACCTCATATAAAACACTAAATTTATTTCTCAAAAAGCTCCGTTACAAGGCAAATCCTTAGTCGGTTTTTCCGCAATCCGATTTTCCCCAAACTTTATATTTTATATCCAAACATCATATACAGTCATATTATGACATTAAACTCATATAAATCATGATTAACATGTCTCATATTCATTACACATCACTTTGGGATGCGCATGGTGTAACAACTGATCTCAAACAGAACTCGCACTTGGAAAACTTGGCGTACAACTTGTGATCCTAGAGTGTGCGTAAAACCATCTGCAAATGTTCTGTGTGATCTGGCTTGGATCGAGAGTACATCCGGATATCATCAATGAACACGATTATAAAAATATATAGATACAGCCTGAATACTCGATTCATTAGATCCATAAAGACCGCTGGTGCATTGGTTAGGCCAAAAGACATAACAAAAAAGTCGTAATGGCCGTATTGGGTCCAAAAGTCTATCTTTAGAACATCTTATTCCTTGATCTTTAACTGATTGTACTAAGATTTGAGATCAATATTCGAGAAATACTTATCATCTTGCAATTTATCAAACAAATCATCGATTCTTGGAAGCATATACTTGTTCTAGATGGTTACCTTATTCAGCCGTCGATAATAAATACACATCCTTAACGAGCCATCTTTCTTTAGAATAAATAACATTGGGGCTCCCCATGTAGAGGTACTGGGTCGGATAAATCCCTTGTCAAGAAGGTCCTTTAGCTGATCCTTTAATCCCCTCAATTTGACGGGAGCCATCCTGTACAAGGGAATCGATATCGGGTGGTGCGTCAGGAGAAAACTCAATCTCCCTCTCAGGTGGAATACCCGGGAGTTTGTCAAGGAGTACAGAGAAACTCACTTGCGACCAATACTGACTAAAGGGTGGGAGTCTTTGCTTTCGCATCTTGCACACACACCAAATGATGAAAACATCCTTTCGTGATCATCTTAAAGGCCATAAGGTAAAACATAAAGTTCCCTTTTGGCGATGCAACATCGCCCTTCCATTCGATAGTAGGTTCTCCCGGAAAGTTAAAACGAATAACCTTCTTCCAACAATCCACTCTAGCATAGCAAGAGGCCAACCAGTCCATGCCTGTGATGACTGTTTACCGTGAAAATGGTAATAACAATTAAATTTAATTTTGTGGTTCTAAAAATACATGATCTATTTTTATGCTAGTTTTTAGGTAGTAGATGCTATGTGAAAGACTTAGAAACGAGATAAGAGCTTAAGAACGAGGTGTTAATCAAACCGAATCGCTTTCAGTTGGGGCCTCGAGCTTGCCTATTCGAGGGCCTCGAGGTAGAGTCTAAAGCTCGGCTAGGAGCTGTCGAAGGCGGTCAATGGCGAATAACAGTTACAAATAGATCAAGGGTGGCTCTTTATGGCCGATAATAAGCAATAAATAATGAACAATGAATAGAATCACAATAAATACGAGCAATAAATGAAGTAATAAGATCAAGAGAATATGTTAGAGAGAAGAGAGAATGTTCTTGTATATTTAGTATGGAGCAACAGATGTTTACAAAAAGACAAGGATACCCTTTATATAAGAGGGGAAATCCCAACATAGTACAAATACATTAATTACAAAGATATGGGCTGGTACGACCATTTAATGCATTGATTCACTTTTCTGACTAGACCACTAGACCTAGCCAGCTATATGTATGTGCCTTGGGAACTTCACCCTGATATGCCGAGAGTGTTAATTCCATTGCCTCAAGGCCGATCATTACTCATACTGTCTCAAAATGGAACTGTCGAGAATTCTCGGAGTCAATCACTGGAAACCCTCGAGATACCATGAAATCGAGCCGTTGATGTCCACTGTATACAAATAGTCCCCGCGTTTCCTAGAACAAAGTGATAGGAAATGATCATGATCCCCCACTCCGTAAGAATCATCGCTATGATGTCAGTCCATCAGAGCATTAAATGTCGTACTTCAAAAAGCCGCACAAGGGTCGTCATCAAATACGACTATCGAGAATTCCACGAACCGCTATTGGTTCGTCTTTTCCGCTACCCACACGGTTCTTGTAAAGGCATCAACCATTTGATAATCCATACTTTCACAATATCTTCAAATTTCCAAGGCTAAAGCCATTCCCTTTCGCTCTCTTTCTTCCTCCGTTCTTGATCCCTTGCCCACTTTCTCAAAAACGTTTTGCCACTATCATGGCTTGAACATCCAATATAGTTCCTCTAAAAGACGAGGCTGCCTCTTCATCCCGAGCGTCCAAAGGAAAGCCCAAAGTGATACCCATCATTGAATAATGTACTCCCGTCGGGTTCGACACAACGAAGGATTTTTCCATCGACAAGCCTTCATCTACACTGTGTCGGTGCGAACACGTGTCCCGGTATATTGGTGTAGTGACCGATGTGAAGAAAGTGAAGAAAGACTAGCATTGGGGAAAGGCAGTGCTGGTTGAGATACCCCGTTCTGATGAGAGCATAACAGATCATAAGGCTGGTTTCCTTTATGTATATACTTACCCGTTCACTCTAAGTCCGGTCAATTCTTCTAACCCTTTTTCCTCAAAGATAGATCCTGTTATTCTTGATTTCTATGACAAGTTCCAAGTGACGCTTGATCAAATCTATCCGTCTTTCTAGAGGTTAGTTCACATGCTCTGCCACTTCTCCGATGGGGTCGAGGGTGAGACCTTTACCCTCGGCCATCTGATCAGATTGTATAGCCCTCGATTTTATCGAGGTTTGATTCAGCTTCATCACCAGTCTAAAAAATCATTTTTCTCGAGCACCGATGAGGACAATGATCGAGGGTGGATGAGTAAGTTCATCCGAGTGAGGACCTCGGACATCATTCCGACCGGGAGAATGCTATTCCCGGAGAAGTGGAATACACAACGTAAGTACTTTTCCTTCGAATATGCTCTGTGATCTTCTTCTCTCTTCCGAAAAATGGTTTCCCCTTGGTTTTTGTAGCTACCGCTTGCTACCCTGAAATGGTTCAGGATCTGACATGATGGATCAAGCAGTTGGATACTTCGTTCCCGTATCTCGTTCGATCTTGGCCCGACCTGGCCAAAACGTGGTGGGTGGCCAAGAACTATGGTAGGATCCCTCTTGCCGCTTTCACTATGTTTTTTCACTTCATTCCCATATATTTTATGCTAAGAGACTTCGGTCACTATGCTTGCGTAGGCTTTGGTGACGGAGTACGGATGAGACCGCCTCCTGATGGTGAGGAAGGGGCCCCGAGGCCTAACAAAGGCAAGAAAAGGGAGAAAAGTTCGGCCGCTAAATCCCCGATGGCAAAGAAAGCAAAACCCAGTAGATCTTAGACCGATGCTGAGATCTCGTCTTCAGCCTCTAAAGTGGGCTCCAATGAAGAGGATGATGATGAAGATGACGACCCTTTGGTACAAAGGAGAAAGTCGAGCACGGGAGCTCCCCAAATATCCGAGCCGAAAGGTGCTGAGTTGGGGTCGACTGATTTGGCTCGAGTCCTTGCCTTGGAGGGCCTCAAAAAGGGTGTGGGTGCGGCCCCCATAACTTCGTCTGGTTGCAGTGTAACCTCCGCCACGGAGACTATTGCTGAAGGTTTCGAAGGGTCTAGGCCCGAAAATTTTGAGGGTAGAAGTTGCTCCTTGGCGACATCGATTCCCTGGGTGGCCTTAATTTGGGCCCTTAGTTCTCCTCCGGGGAGTTAAGGGACGCTCAGGACCCGAATGCTGCCGACACGGGGGTTCCTCTCAAGGGAGGAGGTGCGCTTGGCAACATTCTCAATGATATTGATGATGTCAGTGAGGATATCGATCTTGACACCTCCAGCTCCATCAAGGCAGCGGAGAGGTTCCAGCGGCAGGTGATAGTTGTTCATGTATATTTCCTTAGTCTTCAAGCATTGTTCCTCGTTTGTCTAACTCTTCTGTTTTGCCGTAGTCTAAGAGATGTATGACCATGCCCTCTCTAGGCTCCGAGAGGAGATTTCATGCGGTGAAAAGGAGCTCGAGAATCTTACTTCGGGACTGCAGGAGTCGGAGGCCTCTTCTGCCCGAAAGGAGAAAGAGTTGGGCGAACTTCGGACGAGTTTGGAGGGAGTACTTAGAGAAAAGGCTGGCTTTGTGGAACATGTAATTCATTACTCGTAAACCCGTTCGTTGTTCCCACAATTTCAAGGTTTGCTGACTTACTTTTTCTTTTAAAGATCGGGTAGAAGAATGGGGAGATCCTCGAGCTGAGGAAACAAAATGAGGCTGTGACCTCGAAATTTATGTCGACTCAGGGTCTTCTCCAAAATGCTCGAAAAGAGATTGTCGTGAATCCGTGGCCAAGTCCGAGGTCGAAGGAAAAGTTGCCACTTATCTGAAGGACGCTGCTACCACGAATCAGATAGCCCAAAATATATCAGAGAAGGCCAAGAAAAACCTAATTCGGGCTATCGGTCATGCTGACATAAAGGCGAGGAGGCAAGCCTTAGAGGAAGCCAGTGTCAAAGATGTCGATGTCTCAACTGAGGTCGAGAAGGCCCGAGAATCGGAGGAAAACTGGGAGCTTTTAGTTGCTTTGGACGAAAGTCTCGAAGATGGTTCGGAGGGTAGTGGCGACGAAGAGTATGCCTGCATCTTCTTTCCTTTTTCTTTTTGTGTATTCTCGGGGAAACGAGTCTTATAAAGACGCCCCATGCAAATATATCTTTGGCAATGCAAGAGAATCCTTCTGCTTCAAGTTTTTTCATTTTTTATATTCCATCGTTCTTGTATAGTTAGCTTTTGAATTTCGATGTTAGCTGTTTGGAGCTCGTACTCAAGGCAATTAGGGCTCCCGAGATCAGATTCTGTCTCGAAATTAGGTTGACAGCTCCTTTGGGGCCAATGCTTATGATAGCAGGAAAACCTTCGGGGTCTCGATACCTCCTGAACTTTGTGCGACAACAACGTTCATGTGACCTGATAGTGGGACCCCCATGGTGGTACTACCAGTACATTTCCCAAAAAAGGTGATGCTGTCATTGCAACACCTCTTTTTTCTACCCGAGAAGGAGGTATAAGGGAGTTTTTCCAGTTAAAGTAACAATCGAAACATGATTATTTTAGTTAAAATTCAGAGTCTCCACTTGGGATAATTTATGGTGTCCCAAGTCACCGGTTTAAAATCCCGAATCGAGGAAGTTTGACTCTATTTATGATCTGCGAACACAGAAATCCGAGTAAGAAATTCTGCTAACCCGGGAAAAGGTGTTAGGCGTTCCCGAATTCCGTGGTTTTAGCACGGTCGCTTTGATCATACTTGGCTTAATCAAATTGTCTAATTACTCATTTTAGAAACTATGTGCATTTGTCTCTTTTAATTAAGAAGTTATCTTAAAATAGGTCACGCGCACATGTACCCATTTGTTTGCACGTCAAAAATCATGTCACACGAACGTGTCCACAATTAATAACGCTTTATTAATATTATGAAAGTTTAGCCGAAGTTGTACGAACGCATACCCCGATTTTATTTTTTAGATCATAATTATGTCCCAAGAACGTGTACACAATCACGATAATTATTTATTTATACGTGCCTAAAGCATACTATCGATTTATGAGTTATGTATTTCCTAAGCCAAGATTATTGAGAGACCCAAGAGTTATGGGAGCATTTTATCTAGTACTAATTACAAGTCAATAGAGGAAGAGGATTATTGAAGGATTGATAAAAATTTTATAAAACAGTTAAGCCAACATTAGAAAATGTTTCGACCAAATGATAAAACTAAAGCTAGGAACTAACTAAACTTGATAAAATATCAGATAAAGGAAATTTTTTTTTACAATACGAAACTTTAAGACCAAATGCATTACTGTGACCATCGCTTATCCTCATTTTTCAAGTTTACTTCTTCGGTCATTTTCAAGTGCAGGAAAATAGAAGAGGAAGTTGTATTAATTAAATCAAGATTCTTCAATCAACTTGCCCTCTTTCTAATGGGTTTCTTAAGGACAACATCTTATACAAAAGGGATTTACTAACAAAATTATCTTGAACTAAGGTACGACTGCATTAGCTACTTGTCAGTTAGAGATTTCACCAGTTCGGTTGGGCTATTTTCACTCAACAACCAGAACCAATAAAATTAATGGTAAGAATTAACAAATAAGAAAAATTATGCTAAAACAACAGGAGAACAGATCCAAGCAAGAGCCATATTAATACATATCATTTTTATAGAACACTACACCAACAAAGCAAACAAGATAAGAGATTGGACCTCTACAACTGCAACTATTCTCGAATCGGCAAGCAAATGAGAACCTCGAACAGAAAAACGAAATGCCTCGCTGGAATCTCAATGAACCTCGACCAAAGTACTTCGAACTCGGCTACAACGGACACCTCGACTCGATTCTTTGACTTTGGACTGGAACGCTCGACTTCAAAACAAAATCGAGCAGTTCGTCTCCATGAGTTCCGATATGAGAATAAACTGAAGCTTTGCGTAAAAAATAGTTCTAAAGCTCAGAGAATCGAATGGAAAACTGACTGGTTATGGGGTTAGTTTTCGCCGGTTTCCGGCGAATCTCGCCAGCGATGGAGGTGAGACAAAAAAAACGATAGAGAGAGGGATTTGAAGACGTGGGGGAATGGCTGCTTGTGTGTTTGAAGAGAACAGGGGTCTTTGGTTTGGTTAAGAAGAAGCCATGGAAATTGGCTCTTCTTCTCTGAAGAAGAAGATGAGTCGATAGGGGGGTCCTTTTCAAGAGAGCTCCGCCATTGCTCTCTTTTGTGTTAGCTCCACTCTTCTAGCTGCTGATCTCTAGAGTTTTCTAAGTCTGTTGCGGCTGATCTTAAGGGTCTAAAATCAGAAAATGACTGATAGGTCTAGGTCGTCTCCTTAGGTTAGGGGTCCTTTAAGTCTAAGTCTCGGGTTGTAAGGGTATTGGGCTTGGGTTATTATGGGCTAGGTCCGAAAATTAGGCCTAAAAATGGGTTGTTTGAGCCCAAATTTTATTCTTTCTCCGTGAACAAGACTAAAAATACGATCTCATTTACCAATCAATCCTACTTAAGTAAAATAACTATTAAAATAAGAGTAACCGTTAAAACAAACCTATTTTTTGGTATTATTCAAATATCATACTAAAAGATAAAAATGAAATTAGATTAAAATCATTAAAATAATATTCCTAAAAACAAAGTGGAACTATTTTTTGATTTTTTGATTTTTATGTAAAGTAGATAAATTAAAAGTAACTAGATAAAATATTAATTAGCTAAATAAAAGAAAATATTTTTGTAATTTTTATTTTTGTGATAAAATAAAGTAAAAAAGTAAAAACTAGCTAAAATATCGATATTAGACCTAAACTAAATATTTATATGCTAAAATAAGTTAAATCTTGGGGAGGGTCAAAAATCACGTCTACAGTTGCCCCTCTTTTGCTGGAAACACGAAGTATTTTCAGACAAAGAACAACTAGACAGGTTTTTTGACCCGACCCTTATTTAGGGAGACCAAAAACTATAAGAAAGGAGAATGTGACCGAGCCCTAGTATCTGAGCTGCCTACATATCCTTGGCTATAAAGGAATCAAGTCACGTGTAGTTCAGAAGTGAATGAGGTGATGGAGTATACTGAGGTGGAGAGCCGATTGAGGTGTCGTCGAGGTGACGATCCGCAGTCCCATTATTACATCAAACTCAAAATCTAAGAGAACTAAACAAACCTATTAGCTACAAATTACAAGATTCCTATCTATGAGTTTTCAGAAGCTTGATCTTGAGTCTTGAATGGTTCTTCATGCGGACTTTAGATTTGAACCTTGGCGCTTGTTAGCTGCATGTGTTAGTTCCTCTTTCTTCACCTTTTGGATCAAGACCGGACATGTAGCAGTCATGACCTCAACCACGTCTTGAGCAGTTCACAGCTTTTTCCTGCTTTTGCATTTTGGATTCACTTTTTTCTCTTTTTTTTTTCTTTTTTTTTGAGACTACTTCTGTTGGTCATCTCGGATTGTTAACTCGCATTATTGTCGTGAGCTTCTGCTACTTCTAACTTGAATTGAATTCTGAAATAACTTCCCTTGTTCTCCAGGTGGGCGCCTGCTACTACAACAAAGCAGACAAAACAAAAGAAACTTTTCTGCCTCAGTTTGGTACCGGGAACATCTGTGAGTGTTAATCGAATCCTGTTATCCAAACGAGTTATACGAATTTAAAAGCTGAATCCCATTATCCAGGAGGGTCCTGAAAACTAAAATTAAATCTCATCTTAAGAGTGAAAATTTGAAAGCTAGATTCTATTTCCTAAAGGTAAAACTTACGCTAAATCTCATTGTCTATGAGGGTCGTGAAAACTTAAAACTACATCCTATAATCCAGGAGGGTCCTGAAAAACTTTAAAATTAAATCCCATTATCTAGGAGGGTCCTGATTTCAAGACAACTAAAGATTGATAACTTAAGAAAACTAAAATTGACCCCTTCTTTTTTTCCTTTTTTTTGTTTTGTTTTTGTGTTTTCAAATCCGGACTTTCCTTTCCTTTTTTTTTCAAATTATCCTAGGAGAAAATTCGTCAGACTAGGTTTTAATCTTAGGAAAAAGATTTATCAGACTAAGATTTTGATCCTAGGAGAAAGTTCATCAGACTAGGTCTCTTTTTTTGGGTATCTTAGGAGAAAGATTCATCAGACTAAGACGTCGACCCTAGGAGAAAATTCATCAGACTAGGTTTCTATCTTAGGAGAAAGATTCATCAGACTAAGATTTCTATCCTAGGAGAAAGTTCATCAGACTAGGTCTTCTATCTTAGGAGAAAGATTCATCAGACTAAGACGTTTATCCCATGAGAAAATTCATCAGTCTAGGTTTTCTATCTTAGGAGAAAGATTTATCAGACTAAGATTTCTATTCTAGGAGAAAGTTCATCAGGCTAGGTCTTCTATCTTAGGAGAAAGATTCATCAAATTAAGATTATGATCCTAGAAGAAAGCTCACCAGACTAGGTCTTCTATCTTAGGAGAAAGATTCATCAAATTAAGATTATGATCCTAGAAGAAAGCTCACCAGACTAGGTCTTCTATCTTAGGAGAAAGATTCATCAGACTAAGATTTCTATTGGGAGCAAAATCCATCAGATTAAGACTTTTTATCCTAGGAGGAAAAATGTGAAGATCAATTGCAAGATTTTATGCACAATAGTAAGACAAATAAAGGCAAAGATTTGAGAAACTTCCCTTTGTTGGCTCTTCTCTTCCTTTCTTTTTCCTTTTTTTTCTTTTTCTCTTTTTTATTTTTATTTTTTTTATTTTATTTTTTGAACCACTTTTCTTCACTGCTTTGTTCCTGTTTCAAACAAAGAAAACTTTGTCAGTTTTAAAAGGTGGTGGTCGGTTTGTGGCCTTGAGTCTTAAGCAGCTTGGCTTTTGCTCGATCAGCCTGAGTCGGTCTCAGGAGACTTTTGTTCTGCACCAACTCTGATTGTTTCACATCCAGTACCATTTGTATTTGCAGCTCAAACAGCCTTATCCCAACTGGAGATCTTTGCTTAAGTGACCTTTTCTGATATCTTGAATGACTTCCTGCGATTTGAGAAATTTGTCGGTCATAGAGAATCACCAGTTATCTTTCTTACGCCAAGTAGGATAACAAGAGTCTTTTTTGGGGAAGCCTTTGCATGAATCCTCAAGGCATGTTGACAGTAACAACTGAGTGTGCTGGCCAAATTTACTTTATGCAACTGAAAAGCTGGTAGCAAATTTTGAAATCTTTTCTTGCTTGTTTTGAGAAGGACTAACTCAGGGTGAAGGACACAATGACGCAAAGAAATAGTATTAACAAGAGATGCCCCTGTCGAGGAGGACAGAAGGAAGAGTTTATTTTATCTTAATGATCATGACATACATTTTGGACTCAACGACCTGATCTATCAAACTAATTCAATCTTCCCTTTTACCATTCTTATGACCTTTGAGGTTGGGCTTATTCGTGCCAATCCTTTGCATCAACTTCACGACTCACTTTCGACTAGTGGTGCCCCGAGGGATTTTCACCAACAAGCCTCTCTCATTTATTCATCTCTACTTACCGTCGTATTACTGTGCCCGTGAGGGTTTTCACTAGTAAGACTCTCTCATTTTTTTTTGTTTTCTTGTGTGAGCAACTTGACAGTGTTCTATATCGCGTGACAACCGTTACTCATTGCATGCTTCTTTTGGCATTTCTTGAAGGCATATCAGGAGGTCTTTATTTGGAAGGATTTTGGATATGGTTAGAAATAAAAGGACATCATGAATGCTCAAAATAGACTCAAAGTAAAGGGGGTTATGGACTTTCAACTCTTGGAATCGACTCTTTCAAAAGGGAAATAAAATCTCTGCCACAGTTTCAACTATTGAGTTTTTTGGGGATTTTTTTTTTCGAATTCTTATTTAGTTGGACCGAACCGTGAGGCTGCCTACTGTGAGCACATAATTTTTGCCCTATGTGAATTACTCCCACAAATTCAAGAAATGTTTTTCCCATTATTGGCAATTTCGTAGATTTTTGTAGCATTCTATTAATTGTTTGCATTTGGGTCTGTGCATGTTTAATTTAATTTTAATTCATTAAAAATACAAAAATACATTGCATTTGCATTTAGGACTTAATTTTACATTTCAGATTAATTGTTAAATTAATTTGTTTGACAAAAAATAGGAAAATCACAAAAAATAACTCATTTTGGCATTTTTATTTTTAGTTTCGAATTTTTTAGTTTTTTTTAATTTGGTAATAAATTAGTTGTTGTAAATATTATTTTAAGTAATTAATCTAATTTGGTTTAGAAATTAATTTAGGTTTTATTTTTAATTTGAAAAGAAAAAAAAAATTGAAATTGAAAGAAAAAGAAAAAGGAAAGGAGAAGTTCGGATTTTTGGGGCATTTTAATTAAAATTCCTCCAGGACCAAACAATTTTCACCCTTAACCCGTCCAATTCCAGGTCCAATTCTAACCCCAACTCGGTCAGCCCTTTTAGTACCCAAACGACGTAGTTTTGAGTTCGTACTTAGATTCAATCTGAGCCCTTCATATCCTTTAATCCAACGGTCGTGGGAGGCCCATCACAAATACATAAAAATGTCTAAATTCCCCAGAGACAACGTCAGTTCCCAAACACCCCTTTTCACTTCATCTCCCTCATCTCAAAAATCCTAATCCGCCGCCCTTGAATTCTCCACTCGCTGGCCGGCGGCGTCGCCTCAGACCAGCCTCAAACTCACACCCCAAAATCCTCACAACCTCCCCTTTCCCAATACATAAATAATATCCCTCGAATCTTTACAAAACGGAGCAGATTTCAAATCTAAAAAAAAGGGCAGAAAAACGAAAGCAAAAATCTCTTGATTTCTTCAAGTTTCAATGACCAGTTAGGGTCTAAATTGTTGTTTCTCGCTGGTTTTTAACAAGAACCCACGATGAATACCAATTTCGGCTCGAAATCGGGATAAAAGGGGTCCGTTCAAAGCAATGACAGAGGCCCGTCCACTTCTTGTTTAGGTATTTCAAGTCTCTTTTCGTTTTCTTTTTCGTTTAGTTTCGGTCTTCATCTCTTCCTGCTTCGTTTCTTCTTTTCTTTATTATTTTTTTTCTTTTTCCGTTTTGAATTAGTTTTTGCTCGCATGTTTAAAACTAAAATTTGTTAGTTCAGGTTTGTTTTAATTTCTTTGTTCTTTTGTTTTATTTCATTTTTTCTTGTTTTCAAAAGAAAGGAACTCTGATTTTTTTTGGGGCAATTCCGTTTAGCCCATTAATTTTCTGAATTTGATTTTGAATTGGGCTCTGTTAATTAGAGGCCCAAAGGAAAGGAGATTAGCCGGGTTTGGTAAACCCATGTCTAGTAGG